AATGACTGCCTTAGAGGTAAGGAAATGGTGTATTCCATTTGGATTTTATGCTTTAACAAACTTGTGTTTGTTCTTACATTGTTTTTGCGAGCAGGTTACTGCTGGTGGAAAGTTGTATAATGTAGTTGTCGACACTGAAAATACTGGAAAGCAACTTCTTCAAAATGGTGAACTTCGCAGAAGAGTAACAATTATTCCTCTAAATAAAATTCAAGTCCACCGAGTACCGCCAAGAGTTCAGCAGGCTGCTGCTAAGTTGGTTGGTGATTTCTACATAACTCTTGATTTAATGTCTCTTTTATTGTTTCTTCAGTCATTGCTTGAAGAAGTTAAATCTATGATATATATGGTTGAATTTCCAGGTCGGGAAAGAGAATGCAGAATTGGCACTTTCTTTAGTGGGCTATGATGAAGAATTAAAGGTATTATTCCCCTATCCTGAAAATTATTTCTGGCTAGTACTGGTTCTGTGCATCGTCCCAGTTCCCACTTTCAGGGTTTCTACACTGTGCAATGTTCAATTTATCTCATGTTTTGTATGCCCTCTTCAAATATCTATCCTGCCTACTCCAAAAACCTGTTGCCTGTGATACTGTTTTTTTCTAAACTTGATTTTTTTAAGCCACTAAACTTGATTTGTTTATTGCAGAATGCTATGGAATATGTGTTTGGATCAACCTTTGTCTGCAAAACGACTGACGCTGCAAAGGAGGTAAGTCTTTCCTTTTGGTTATTGTTACTCTTTGAACCACGAGGCCATTCTAAGGGGCATATTAATTAGTTACCAGGTTATGTTTCTCATCTGCCTTATATCTGTCATTCATCGAGTAATTTTCAGGTTGCTTTTAGTCGAGAAATTCGGACACCAAGTGTTACTCTAGAAGGCGACGTATTTCAACCGAGTGGCCTTTTAACTGGTGGTAGCCGCAGGTTTGTTGCTCATATGCTTTAGTATTGCCAATGGAATTTGCAGTTGCTTTCAGAAAGTGTTAAATAGCAATCCTTTCGTCCTTGATTGTTTTTGAACACCCAAAGTCTTGCGACTCTTTGAGGGTTTGTTATGCCATCAGAATTGGCAAGTTATACCATTTCTTTATCTTTAAGTATAGTATATAAACTTCTATATTTATGAATGCATTATATATAGATGTCAGTGGGGGATTGTTAATATGGCTATGAATTCTTTGTCACAGAGGTGGCGGTGATCTATTAAGGCAACTTCATGAATTGGCAGAAGCTGAATCAAAGCTTAGACTGCATCAGGAAAGGTTGTCTGAGATTGATGCCAAGGTAGATTCAGGAAACTCTTTTCTTAAATGCGGAAGAAAGCTAGAAGAAGAAAGTTTTAGTGCATATCAAGGCAGTTTCTTTTCCCATGTGCTGAATAGTTACATAGTCTATTTCGAGTTAACAGTAGGTGTCCGTTTATCTGGCATAGCATTGTTCAGACCATAAATTTCATTGAGAGCTTGTCTTTAGTGGGTGTAGTACTTTGTTGTGGCATCAGTTCTCCTTTTCCCTTTTTGTGCGTCCTTTCCTTCTCTACTTTAATAAATGGTCTAAGCTTCATGGAATATAGATCAGTGCTCTTTGGAGGTTTGGTTCGTGGCTCCTAGCTTCCATTAAATGATGTTCTTACTGTATTGAGTTGTCTGTTTTATGCATCTTCAATGCAGACCAAGGAGCTCTTGCCTCTTTACAGAAAGTTCGTGGATCTGAGGAAACAACTAGAGCTGAAGATGTATGATCTTTCACTATTTCAAGGGAGGGCTGAACAAAATGAGCATCATAAGGTTGTATATCTAACTCTGTTCATAAGTTAACAGGCCTTTCATCGAGAGATTCATGCTGTATCTTTTCTCACTCCATTGTGTCATAGCTTGGTGAATTGGTGAAGAAGATTGAGCAAGATCTTGACAATGCAAAAGTTGCAGCAGAAGAAAAGCAAAACTTGTATGATCAGTGTGTCAGCTCTGTTGCACAGCTTGAGAAGTCAATCAAGGAGCATGACAATAGTCGGGAAACAAGGCTAAAAGATTTGGAGAAGAAGGTTAAAAAGACGAAGGCCCAAATGCAGTCAGCTTCGAAGGATCTCAAGGTCAGGAATGCTTTCTCTATTCTGCCTGGATTGCTATTGAATTGTTAAATGGTACCCACCAAAAGTTTCATACTGTGAAATGCTAAGAGTTCTCTAACTGAATATCTGCATACAGTTTTTTTTTTTTGACAAGAAATATCTGCATACAGTTGTTAATATGTTTCCTCTTGTTAATAGGAGCATGAACATGAAAGAGAGAGGCTGGTTTTGGAACGTGAAGCAGTCATCAAAGAACAGGCATCATTAGAGAGTCAATTAGCCTCGCTGAATGCACAAATCAATAGTCTTGGTGTTGACGTAGAAGAACAAAAAGCCAAGGTAAATATCTAGACCTGGTTCGGGAGTCTGTTACATGTATTATGCACGTAGTTGCTCGGGTACTTGAACAAAGCTACTGTTGCAGGTAGCATCCATACGCGTGAATTGTGATAGTGCTCAATCTGAGCTTGATTCTGTCCGCCTTATGATGAAAGAGTGTGATACCCAAATTAGTAGCATTGTCAAGGAACAGCAAAAGCGGCATCACAAAATTACTGAGATCAAGCTTGAGCGAAAGAAGTTGGAAAATGAGGTAAATTTTTGGTTTTGCACTAAACACTTTGCTTGCTCAACAATCTAAAACATGATGTTTTACCATTCCGTAATAGGTAAAAAGAATGGAAATGGAGCACAAGGATTGCTCTACTAGAGTGGAGAAACTGCTGGAGAAGCATGCTTGGATTGCAACTGAGAAACAGTTATTCGGAAGAAGTGGAACTGATTATGATTTTGAATCACGTGATCCTCATAGGGCTAGGACGGAACTGGAGAAGTTAGAAGCAGAGCAATCCGGGTGAGTAAAGGGTTTTTGTGACAGTGCAATCTGTTATATAACCTCGGGGCTAAGAAAGTGAAAGGATGCGACTTAACCTACCTTTCTGCATAAGAGCAACGATCCTTCTGTTTTGTGCACAACACACACATACATCCATACACACACCTTTCTGCAGTTTTTAGATTTGCATGTTCTATTACCTAGTGATGCTTGTTGCTCAGTATCGTTTTTGTATATAAACCTACTGCAGTTTGGAGAAAAGGGTGAACAAGAAAGTGATGGCAATGTTTGAGAAAGCAGAGGATGAATACAATGACTTGATGTCCAAGAAAAACATTATCGAGGTGGCTATCCTCATCATGCTGCTAAAAGATCTTTTTGTGTTAGTCGATCCTTAAATGTGTTGCTCTAACTCTGTGTTTACCATAGACTGACAAATCCAAAATAACGAAAGTTATCGAGGAGCTCGATGAGAAGAAGAAAGAAACACTTAAAGTTACCTGGGTGAAAGTTAACAGGCAAGTTATGTTGGGTTTTTTTATGTAACATATTGTGTTCTTTCACAGCAATTGTTACCATAATCACTGACATTGTCAAATATATTCAGTGACTTTGGATCCATATTCTCTACACTATTACCTGGCACCATGGCAAAGCTAGAACCACCAGAAGGTTGTAGCTTCTTAGATGGTCTGGAGGTTCGAGTTGCATTTGGCAGTGTATGGAAACAGTCGTTGTCGGAACTTAGTGGAGGTCAACGATCACTGTTAGCTCTGTCTTTAATACTTGCACTTCTGCTCTTCAAGCCGGCTCCTCTCTACATTCTTGATGAGGTCTGTGCTTCACTTATTATCTCAAGTGTCTATATTGCACCACATCAGTTCGACATGATCTGTCACTGCTATTATTTCTTGGCTGAAGTAACATCTGAGATTTATGCTTTGTGGTTGGCAGGTTGATGCAGCTCTGGATCTAAGTCATACCCAGAACATTGGAAGAATGATTAAAACTCACTTCCCACACTCTCAGGTCCTACCATTCTTCTAAATTTTTTTTTACTCCCGGTTTTACTCGTTTTTTTTTGGTGCTTACTAGTACCAGTTATTTCAGTGGACTCTGTTAGCAGAACTTCAGTCTGATGCTTTTTCCCCCTCCAAAACTTGATGTTGTAGTTCATTGTGGTTTCTCTGAAAGAAGGCATGTTCAACAACGCCAATGTTCTTTTCCGGACCAAGTTCGTGGATGGAGTGTCCACTGTCCAGAGGACTGTTGCTGCTAAGCAAAGCAAATGATGGTAAGCTGCCAGCTGGTTTAAATGATTGCAACTTTCAGCTGCATAAAATTAATCCCGCCATTCTTTCGCTCGTCTGAAGACAACAGCTTATATTTTCTTCTTCTAAATAGTGCTACTATAACTTAGTATGCAGTCTTTGTTTTTTTTAGTTACTCTATAACTTGTGTGGATTGATTTTTAGTTCCCAAATGTTCCCCATAACTACAAGGGTTGGAGCTGCTGAAGAAGACAACTGGAGCTACACTTTCAGCATCTTCTGTTATGTATGATATTGGTAGGGCAACTTGTAACGTGACAGCTTGCCTACCCCTCTTTAGCTGGCTGTAGTCAAGCTCAGTTTTAATTAGGGTGAGGACTTTTGGGATGTGAATAGAATGAGCAAATCTTGCTCGGCAAGTCATTAGGTCGTTGATGGATTCTCAGATACTGTAATTCATGAACAATGTTGAATTGTCAACAACAGTTGGATGATTCGTAGCAGTCTGTGGAAGAACTCATGAATGCATTAAAGTTCCACAGACATGACTTTGTGTTATGTGGCCTGTATTCTGTCTTGTCTCACATAAATCAAAAGGTTTGGAATCGTATGCAACTAACCAGGCAGGGTTTTCATCAGCCATTTAATGCAATGGCATGCCACTGTGTTCATCCAACGACTGCAAATTGTCTGCTCTTGATCTAACAGTTCTAGTGGCCCGTTAGATCTTTTTCACAGATAGACCTTAGCTGAGATGGGTTTCAACGGGGCTGGTATTTTAACAGTCAAACTTTGCAAATTCTTCTTTCCGCTGTAACGTGCATGCGGATGATAAAAAAATTCTTGGTTTCAGGCCATCCCAATCCTTTGGAGACTGCAACGAAACCTGCACTAACGTATACCTATCCTACATATACACACAACACAAGACGTAGCCACGGAGATATTAGATAACCAAAAAGAGGAGCTGGTAAATTAAAGATATGGGTTTGAAAGGATGCTCCATTGATGGTAGACTTCTCCTCGTTGCGGTGATTCTGTTGGCGTTAGCTTCACAACAAGTGGCCGTGGCAGTGGCGGCATCAAAGCAATTGGGGATTGGAACAACGCCGCGTACCAAGTCCATGCATAATCAAACTTGTAAGTTCTTTGCACCGTCGTGTTCGTTTCCCCCATCATTTTACTGGCCGCCTGGCCTTGCGAGTTGATGTTTGTTTTACAGACGCAGGACATGATGAAGAGCAACTGAAGACGGTGAAGGTTGTAGGCCGCACTTTGCTCACACTAGGGAAAAGAGACGATCCCCACAACGGAGGATACTTTGCCGAGACGCCTACTGATGCATGAACTCCCGTTCTTGGCTTGCTTTGTGTGTTTGTTGTAAAACTGCACTAGCTAGGAAATGCTGATGCAGGAGCCAGCCCATGCTGGTGTATTTTACTAGCTATGGTGTTGTATCTCTGTTCGATGTGAACAAGACTAGTTCTTCAGAGCTCACGACCGATTTCTTATTAGATTTACATTTTGACGGCTTACTACCACACAAGCTGATAGCTAAGCTTATATAGAGAAAGATTTAGGGTAAAAACCCTAATGCCACGACTCGGACAAGGCCAACAAGGTCCAAGACTAACTCGATTTAAGTAACGACAACATGTCACACTCGCAGTCCGACCAAATATCTCCTATCTCTCCGGCGAGAACGCGATGAAATCCTCTGCCCCCAGCGGCTCGACTTTCATCTCCGGGAAGAAAATGGTCGTGTCAGATATTACTGTTGTAGGCGTGGATCTTGAGAGGGGTATGCGGTTCACTTTCTTAATCAAGAGAAGAAGAGTTTTGGGGGTTTGGGAAGGAAAAGGGGTTTTGAGGAAAAAGAAGGGTTGTTGGGCGTGGGAAGTAAGAAGAAGAAGAATGAGAGCAGATTTTGGGGAGACGGGACTCGGCAGAGAGAGGGAAGAATAGGGGAAAAAGATTTCACCAAATAATAATATTATTCTTAATGATTTCTCCTAAACAATCCTTCCCTAATATAATGAAATTCCTTCTATAACTAGCTTGATTTATCCTCATAATTGTTCTTCCCAAATTCCCCTAACTCGAGGTAATCAAATCCTCCCAATATCCATAATTATCCAAAAACATGCATAAATCGAGAAGTACAAAAAAGTGAAATGCTAAAAATAACCCTGCAACAATCTCCAGCGCTTCGGATCAACCTTGCCCTCAAAGTTGCATTTCACCTTTAGCCTTGCATGCCTCCGCCTCGACTTCTTCGGCTTCGTTCTCAAAGGTCCCCACCAGCAACATCAAATTTCCTGTCGCGATGTTTCTTATCCATCTCGGTCGGAGTTAGCCGAACCAACCCTCTTGGGGCGAGTGGAGGTCCAGCCCGACCGGCTGGTATGCCACCTGCTGCTCCATTCGCTTTTCCTCCGTCCACCGGGTTAATTCCGTTGGCCACGGCTCCTATGGCGCCGCCGCCTCCCATCATGGCCGATCCACCTCCGCTTCCTGCGCCACTCCCTCCACTTCCTGATTTGAATGTCCTGACACTCGCCTTCTGCCCATCCAATTCCTCTTCCTTCTTCGCTATTCTGAAGGTGATTGGAAGCGAGTCTGGCTCGAATAACTTGACCGTCGTGGCGATTTCAGTCTTCAAACCCGCCAAACTAATCCCAACTGGTGTCTCTTCTGGAATACCATAGTAGAGATTACCCAAACTCTCAAATTCGAATTGAAACACACTTATAGTTCCTGGCTGTTTAAGCTTGACCATCTGTTCAGAAGCAGACCCATCCGACACGTTGAATCGTATGCCGAATTCCTCATTGAATCGCTCCCATGTAGGGGTGGGCAAAGGGTTCGGTAAATTCGAACCGAACCGAACCAAAACCGAATTAAACCGAACCGAAACCGAAATAATGCTATTCGGTTCGGAATTTAGAAGAAAAATATAGATATTTCGGAAACCAGGGTTCTTTCAATCGAACCGAAATTCCGAAATTCCGACCGAAAAACCGAAATACTACAATTGCAACCTCCAAATGGTGGATTTTTATATTTGTAGTTGTTTTTATACTTAAATATTTGAAATGTTTTATGACTTATGTGTTGAAAAGTTTGATTTTATCATTGATTATGCATATAATTGCATATTTATTATTTATATTAGGAGTGAAAAATAATTTAAAAGTGAGAATATACAAGTAGCCTCACAAATTCGGTTTTGTGTTAAAAACCAAACCGAACCGAATTATAATTCGGTTTAAACTGACCAAACCAAATTATAATTAGGTTCAAATTCGGTTTGAGTTTTGGGAGAATTCGGGGACCCGGTATTCATAATTTCGGTCGGTCGAAACCGAATCGACCGAATGCCCACCCCCACTCCCATGTGATCTTCTGTCCGGTTGTGGTGTAAGCTCGCTCCATCCATTCCCACCATTGTTGCGCTCCTGCGCTAGATAGAAGACCGCCAGGTGCGCCTTATGTTCCTCCCTGGTTCCTTGATGTCGAAACCAGCGATCAACTCGAAATAACCAAAAGCCCGAGTCTTTTAGTCCTGAAAACTTGGTGAACTCAATCATCGGTAATTTGGCCCGGAACATGATCTCCACTTCACCGCTGCTCCGACCGTACTCGCCATTCCCCCAGTATAGCGCACGCCAATAGGGGTTTTGATGTCTTCCCGGCTTGATACTTCCCATCCATCATCACCCTCCACATTCGACGGATCGTGTTCATTTCTTCTGTAGCCCCAACCTCCAGCAAAACTACCGCTACCCCGAATGGGGCCTCGTGCCTTGGGTGTGCCGAGAGCGAGGAAGCTGTCGCTCTTCTCTCGACCATCGTGTACCGGCTAGTATCCTCCGTGGCACGCCTCTCGTGCACCACCGCTAGCTTGCCCTGCCCCGGTCCAGACTCGGTCACTCAACCCACGACCCCAGCCGCCCCCGTCATGGTAGTTTCCTCGAGCTGCGGTATGTCTAGCAAAACCGCGAGGTTCGTCCAGCCTTGAGCCGCCGTCCAACCCTTTATCTCCTTGCGACAGCTTACCCCCAGCCTTTGGCAGTATCATGACATTTAGCGGAAGTAGGAGGAGACCCTCGTCCTTCTTCTTTTCGTTCGACGGTGTAGAGGTCGTCTCATAGCTATTTTTCTCGCGGCCACCTTCTTCACCTTGGGGGTTGTGCGACGATCATCCGCGACCAATATCACAGGAGTAGGTGACATGGTGTTGGTGACCGGTCCGCCTAGACGGCCGTTGCTGCTCTCACTTCTGCCAGGATCTGGGCCAATACTTCGGCGAGACCATTGAGACCAGCCTTCATGGTCCCTTCCGCCTCCTTGGCCGTTCGGTTTGCGTGCTCCATGTGATATGTCAGTTGTTCACTGAATCGTGAGAGCTTTTCTTCGAATTCGCTTTGCTTTATGGCCACAGTTTGGAGTTGAGCCATGACAACCTCCACGTTGATCTCGTCATTCACGACTCCGTCTTTGCCTGACTTCTTCGACATCTGTCTAGTCGTACCTGGTTTACACCGCTCAACAAGCCTCTGATACCAATTTTTGGAGGCATGAATCTTTTTTTTTTTGATGAATAAGTTGTGTATTCATCAAGATAGAATGGTAATCACCATTCTAAATGGCACCAAACAAACTGTTCATACAGAGCAATTCCAAACCGAAACACCAAGCAACAACTCTAACCAGAAAACACACAAAAACAAATTTGCACTACACTATGCTAAGAATCTCTTCCTCAGTAATAATCGAGCTAATCTGAGGAAAACCACTTCTCAATAAAAGAAAAACCCTCTGCAACTTTTTCAGCAGCAGCTCTTCTGTCAAGCTTTCTGTACCATACAACCTCCTGCACCTCTCCCTCCATAGCTCGCTAACCACTGTCATCCAGAGCAATTTGCCTTTATCAGAAGTTGAGGAAGCTCCAGTGAACTGTCTTAACGCAATCTCCAGATTCTCCTCCCAGCTCCTTCCTAGCTGGAATTGTGAATGAAAAACAGACAGCAGGATCCTCTGTGAATAAGGACACCCAAAGAACAGATGACTCCTGGATTCTGCAACTGCTCCACAAAGGGGACAAGTATTAATGACAGCAGGATTCCACACCTGCACCTTGTCTAGTGTGTTGATTCTGTTAAGAGAAGAAGAGTTTTGGGGTATTGGTAATGAAAAGGGGCTTTGAGGAGGAAGAAGATTTTTGGGGTTTTGCGAAGGAACAGGGATTTTGAGGAGGAAGAAGGGTTGCTGGGCATGGGATGTAAGGAGAAGAAGAATGAGAGGAGGTTTTTGGGAGACAAGACTCGGGGGAGAGAGGGAAGAAGATTTCACCAAATACTAATATTATGTGCATAATTATTTCTCCCGAACAGTCCTTCCCTAATATAATGAAATTCCTTCTATAACTACCTTGATTTATCCCCATAATTATTCTTCCCAAATCCCCCTAATTGGAGGTAATCAAATCCTCCCAATATCTCTAATTATCCAAAAAACATCCATAAATCGAAAAATGAAAAAATGTGAAATACTAAAACTAATCGTACAACAATTATCTCCACGGACTCCACTTTCAACGACGGAGCCACCACCTCCTTCACAGCTTCACTCTTCGGTGGAAACAAATTGTACTCTACACTCTGCAGGCTTTATCATCATCGGACTACAGAACGACACCGTTTTGACTGGTGTCTCTTCCCCATTGACGGTCTCAACCTTGGAGCCAATGGTTGCTTGCTTGCTTGGCAAGTCATTATTAGGTAGTTGATGGATTCTTAGATACTATAATTAATGAACCTTGTTAAACTGCCAACAACAGTTGGATGATTCATAGCAGTCTACGGAAGAATTCATGGCTGCATTAGAGTTCCACAATGACATTGTGTGTTTTGTGGCCGACATTCTGTCTCGTCTCACAAAATAGGGTGTTTGTAACAAGTAAACATAAAAGACCAATAAAAGTTCGTGTCTACCAGAAATTGCTACACCTTTGTATGTTTTGTAAAAACAAAAAAAAAAAAAAAAAGATTGCTTACCACTATTTGTGGATTGCACATAAATTTCATTATATGATAGGTATTTCTTTGCATAATTTATGGGAAAAAATGTCTCAACATTTACACCGTATATTCTTTCTATTTATCCCACACAACCATTCATACGAATTAAGCTAACAATAAATTGATGGAAGTCGCTAATGGTAGATCGTTGGATGTGAGAAGAGAGATAGGTCGCCGAAGACAGGGGAGTAGAAAAGAGAAGGCTTGATTGTGCTGTTTTGTTGTTATATTACAAAGAGTAATCTATTAATTTACATTTTAGCTTTAGGACAATAAATCATTAGCAAATTTAAATTTAGCATTCCATATAAAACTTCCAGAAATATTGCAGTTATCCATGGAAAGCAAAAATGAGAGACAAGTTAATTCGTTTAGAGACTAAAACAATGTAGCAAAGAGAACATCAAATAGTTCTTGCACTAGCTATAGCTGAAATCCATGGTAATTCAGTCACCACTTGGAAGGGCTAGGAAGATCATCAATATCATCAAACACATAATTAGTAGGTAAGTAGTCTTCATCCTCTTCACCGCCGACATCATTAAATCCTCCACCACCCCGATTATTAATAGCATTCACATGGCCGCCGCCAGCTCCCGGCAGCTTGCTGCAGGACGGGTCCAAGAGCTGATGATGAGGATGAGCAATCAGATTATTACCCCCATCTCCCGCCGATCCAAATATATCGAAGAGGTGAAAAGGGTTGTCTCCCACTCCAACTCCCAGTCCGGCCAATATCTCCTGGCTCTCCGGCGAGAACGCGATGAAGTCCTCTGCCCCTAGCGGCTCAGCTTTCATCTCCGGGAAGGAAATCGCCGCTTCAGATATCTCCACTGGCTCCACTTTCAACGACGGGCCCACCACCTCTTCCCCTGCTTCACTTTTCGGATCGCACAACGGCACCGTTTTGACCGGTGTCTCTTCCTCCATTGACGGTCTCAATCTTGGTGCCTGCATACCAAAAAAAAAAAAAAAAAAGCATTTATCACCATTTATAGCATCAAACTAATATGAATGATGAAAGAATAAGGAGAATTGAATTAAATTAACCTCAGGGAGGGAAATCAGATTTCCACAGGCAGAGGCAGGGGAGTTCCTCTTGCGGGAGGAAGAAGAACACGCCGGCGCCGCAGAAGTGGTGCGGAGGATCCTGGCGAGGCGCTTCTGGCGGCTGCTCCAGAAATTCTTGACGTCGTTATCAGTTCTGCCGGTCAAATGGGTGGCAATCTTGGCCCATCGGTTGCCGTAGCGGGCCTGCAACTCGATCACCACCCTCGCTTCCTCCTCTGTAAACTTGCATCCTCTGTCCCCACAACAGACCACAATGTCAAAATCAATTCAATTCAATCATCCAAAAACCCTAATATAATAAAAATAAAAATTGCGATCGATTTGTGGATACGTTTTGAGATTGGGTTGCAGCTTGTTGACCCAGCGGAGGCGGCAGGATTTGCCGGTGCGCTGCAATAGGCCTTTGGATCGAATGGAGCTCCACTCGCGGGGTCCGTACTTCTCCACGTGCTTGATCAGCACTTGGTCTTCCTCTGCTTTCCATGTCCCTTTCCTTACCGTGCTCTCCTCCTTCTTCCTCTTATTCTTCGTCTTCTTCTTCGCCGGCGTCGCTGCTTCCATTCTTAATCGATCAGTTGTTATTAATTACTAATAACTAGTCTCTTGTTATTAAGTTGTCTGACTTCAGTCCAACTGCTGCTCTTTCCAAATCATTGTACACCAGACCCAGAGCCTACATTCTTCCGACGAAGTACTCCGACCGGGAAAATACAGAGTGCGGAAAGGCAGTGTTTTTCTTTCTGTTGGGTATTTGTAGTAGTGAAGTAGTGACGGTTGAGCATGGCAGTTACCCCCACTACCGCCACTACCTTCACACACGCTTTTTCTTTTCTTTTTCCCGGCTCTCTAATTTCAAAATTCAAATCTCTAATAATATCAGCTTCGCTTCCTACTTATCCGGTGCAAAAACAAATACCATAGCCTTGGGCCGAGCGTGAGAGACCCAAGTCTATGCAAATAACCATTTGTTAATTTATCAGATGTCTAGGCCCAAGCGGGTTGTCTGATATTTGAATTCGGCCCAGTTTACTCAAGGGCTTCGAGAGATCTGCCCTAGTTCAACTTGTATTTCTAATTTTCTATGATTGATCGATTGGCAAAAGAAAAAAAAAAAAAAAAACTTGTTTACACAAGGCTTGAGTTCAAGATGTTAAGCCTCATTTTTTAAGGAGAATCTTAAAGTCTTTTTATTGACTGATAGTGAATTAGGTAGTTAATGAGGTTAGTAGTTAATAGGTAATTAAGGGTAAATGAGGTTATGAAAATATAATTAATATAATTATTTAATGATTCTATTTCTCTCTCCTCCCATGATTTTCTCCATAACCCTCTCTACCTACATTATAATTATAATTAAAAATAAATATAAAATTAATTTTATTTGATATTATTTAATAATTAATAAAATCTGAATTTAATAATTTTCTTATTACTAAAATGGGAATTTGAAATTTAAAATATATGCCTTTCTCACATCTTAGTAACTTTCGATTAGTGTTAACATTTCGTAATTACATTATCAATATTTATAAATTGAATCATCATTAGGGCTTTTCGTTTCATGGGTTTAGGATTTTTCGTTGTTAGGTATTCGTTTGTGTTATTATTAATGTTGTCGACATGTTTTTTAATAATTTTATATGACATTATTAACTTTTTATGTTATGTTTTGTTTGTAACATGAGCAAAAGTGAAATTGTGTTTTCAATTTGTTGGTACTTGAAGTTTATTTACTATTACACCGTATTATCAATTTGGTTCGCAATGATTTATAATCATTTGAAGTGCTATTATAAATGTTTTTTTTTCAAGCACAATACAACCATTAGAAAAAATTTATTTCATTTGTAACATTGCTTATGTTTAGTGATTTGAATTATTAATATTTTTTTCGTTTATGTTTGTAACTTTGTCAAATGTCATTATCAAAAAGCATACTTGTTAGGTATTCGTTTGTTTATGACATTAGCAAAAGTGAATTTACATTTAATAATATAACTATGGTTATTAATCTTTCAGTCTAAGTTAGTAACATAGTTGGTGTCATTATTAATAGGTGTGTATAAGCATTATCAATGTTTGAAAAAAAATAAGATATTAATAATATCTAGTAAGGTACTTAGACCATCTTTAGTGCAAGGTTCTAAAATCCCAAAATTTGGGACTAGAATTCTAAATCTAGCCCTTTCAAAAGTGTTTTTGCATTAGTGGGGAGGTCCAGAAGTCCAAAATTTCAGAATTTGACATTAACTCATTATTCAGTTTAGTGTAGATTTCATTATTCTAATTACAAAATTTGTTCTTTATTTTTATATAGCCACTAATAATTAATTAAGACGAACATTTCGATAATTTTTTTTTGAATTCCGACAATAAAAAAATTATTGTCAAATATGACGTCATTAATGACGAAAGCAACATTATTGGTTCAGATAACTATGGATTCTTCACATGCTTGTCAGAATGAGTTGTGCCATCAACTATTCATTCTACTTTAATCATAATGAAATGGTGTCATCAACTGTTCATTCAGCTTTAATCATACTTCAATTGTGTCATCAACTGTTCATTCAGCTTTAATCATACTGAATTGTACCATCAACGGTTCATTCACCTTTGGACATTGGTGCAGAAGGAATCATTTTGGGTTTTTATAAATGAACCACCAAAGTTGGTCTTCAAACTCATCCACCATTCAATATTCTTTCTTGAAAAAAAACCATTGATCCTCCATTCTCCTCTCTAGCCACCCAAAACTATTTCTCCTTCATGGATTCCCCTAATAGAGAAGATTATGAGATGGAAATAGAAGCTGATGAGAGGCAAAGAGAAGCTGATAATAGGCAATGGGAGTATGAGTGTCAAATTGAGCGTGATCGCATGGAGATGTTCATGATGTATGCAAACCATCCTCACCAACATCAAGCAAGTGGATCTCGTGGCAGTTCATCAACACGAAAAACAGTGAAACTTAACAAGGAAGACGGTCAGAGGCGCTTAATGCAAGACTACTTCACCCCAAATCCAACCTACGATGCTAAGGCCTTCACAAGGCGATATCGGATGCCCCCTGCCTTATTCAACCGAGTCATGAACGATGTTGTACAATATGATGACTACTTCAAGCAAGGGACAAATGCTGCAGGTCGTGACTCATTCTCCCCACATCAGAAGCTTACTGCTGCGTTCCGCATGCTTGCCTATGGATGCTCGGCAGACTCTTTGGATGAGTCCTGTCGAATGGCTGAGAGCACCGTATTGTTGTGTCTGAGGAAATTCTGCTCAGCTATCACAAACATTTATGGTGCTCAATACTTGCGTGCACCAACTGTAGATGATACTCGCCACCTCCTTCATCATGCTGCACAACGTGGATTTCCGGGCATGATTGGTTCTATCGACTGCATGCACTGGGAGTGGAAGAACTGTCCAACTGGGTGGGCAGGCCAATTCACTGGGCACAAGAAGAAACCAACCATTGTCCTCGAAGCTGTGGCATCATATGACACATGGATTTGGCATGCCTTCTTTGGAACACCCGGATCGAACAATGACATCAACACTCTGGGAGTGTCCCCATTATTCGATCATGCAGTTCAAGGATTGGTTCCCAAGGTCAGTTATGTGGTAAATGGTAAAATGTACGATCAATGTTATTACCTGGCTGACGGAATTTATCCTGAGTGGGCTCCATTTGTGAGGACTATCAGCACTCCAAGTAACCAAAAAAAGAAGTTGTTTGCAAGGTGTCAAGAGGCTTACCGGAAGGATGTTGAAAGGGCCTTTGGCATACTTCAACAAAGATGGGCCATTGTCAGGGGCCCTAGCCGTCTTTGGGATGTGCAAACACTTGGTAATATCATGTTAACTTGTATTATTATGCATAATATGATAGTGGAAGACCAACGGTTCGAGTATGGGGATGGGGAAGAGGTGAACATTGAGTATGAGAATGAGAGTAATCCAAATGTCACATGGGAGCCACCTGAACATAACACTCCTACTCTCATGGAGTACATGGCTAGGCATAACATGATTCGTGATCGACTTGGACATCACGCATTGCAGAATGATTTGATAGAACATTTGTGGACCATACATGGAGGAGAGTAGTCGACGAGTGTGTTGAAATAAAGAAAGTGTTTTCCTATGTTTTCCTAATGTATTTTCTATGTTTTCTTTATCTATTTTCTATGTTTTCCTAATGTATTTTCTACGTTTTCTTGATGTATTCCTATGTTATCCTAATGTATTTTCTATGTTATCTTGATGTATTTTCTATGTTATCTTAATAAGACGAAAAATAAGGTACGTGCATTAGCAATTGAAGAAAAGCGTACATCAAACATAAATCTACTCCATGAAAATTACAATGAAAAGCATACATTAAACATAAATCTACTACATGAAAATTACAACGAAAAGTGTACATCAAACATACCACAAAACTACATAAAGATTACATATCGAGATCATATTGGTAAGAAGCCACAATGTTATCTTTTTGACTCTGATACCAAGCACGAGATCGAGGACTCATTTGAGAAAGATCCTTATTCATTACCATCATATCATGTCTGTTCTTCTCCCTTGCGTCTCTTTGAATTTCACGTTCCTCTCGAGCGAGTGCTAGCCTCGTGTGTGTGTTCGAATTATCCACCATATTGGCCATACTCTTCTCCCAACTTTCAGAGGAAGAATATGGAGTTCCTCCGTTCTTCTTCTTTTGCTTATCACGACCTTCGGGACGGTTGATCACAAAAGGAGTAGCTTGAACGTCGGGGCTATCACTCTCGCCGGATGGGAAGCCCGATGAAGATCCACCCATTGGTGAAACGGGTAGAACGGGAGTAGTAAATTGTTGAAGAAACTTTGGAAAATGTTGACAAATCTCCCAACAATGCTGCAAATGGAAAGGCTTTCCGATATTTGCCTTGTAAATATTTTTAGCTCGTTCAACCTATACAATTTTAACAAAGTATTTTAAACTAATATGAACAAGCAAATCAAATAACAAATTAATTGCATAATAATCATTAATTTAACTTGACTCACCACATCGTTGAGGTTTTCTCCACTCATTGGTGTCGCACTTGCTCTCTTCGATGCTGCATTCCATGCACCACAAAACTTGATTATGGTCTTCCATCGATTTTGTAGGCCCCCGTCAGGACGTGAAATTCCTGTGGTATTCTCGGCAAATACTACCCCAATTCGCCTCCATAACTCAGACCCAGATTGATAATTGCCGACAGAACCATCCTCCGAAATTTCAATCCACGCTTTGCACAAAACTCTATCTTCGTCCTCCTTCCAATTTGGTGGGCGATTGCTTTGAGACATAACCAGACGTTTGGGAGGAAGATTTTTTTTTTCTATGAGAAGAAGATGAGTATTGAGAGAATTGGGAGAAAAAAATGTAAGTGATGAAGTAGAAGTGAATGAATTTGTAGTATTTATAGATAAATTTGGCAAAAACTAGTTGTTGGGGCTGAAAGAGCCGTTGGGAGAGAGTGTAGGTGCTGAAAAGTATTTTTTTTTTTGCATTTCCAACGGTCAAAACAGCAAAAAACAAGGGGGAAAGCACATGGCATGCCTCTGCCACTCCTCCCTCTGTGGGCCCGTGCAAGTTTGGACTTTTTGTCCATTTGTGGGCCAAATTTGGCCCCAATTTTTGGATAAATTGGACCAAATGAAATTCAGGAACCTTACTAAAGTGCTTTGGGTCCAAAATTTTGGAATTTTGGCCCATCACTAAAGCTGTTCTTAACAAGCATTAGTTGCTATCATTATCAAAGTTTTTGGATGCATTATCCATTAAACACATGTTACTTATTAATGCGTTTGTAGTGTTATTTGACATTAAACATTGTATCTGAATATTATTAATATTTTTTATAACAAAAATCTATTTCCTTATCAGTGACTTGATCATTGATTATTAATGGTTTTTAATATCTTTATTAAAAGCTTGATGTCATTTATAATGTTGAAGTCAGACATTTTTACATTGATGTTTTGTGTTTATTTTCAACGAAATACTTTTAGTTATCAATGATTTATTGTATTGTTATTAAAAGTTTGGTGTTGAGGCGTGAATGTTGGTTTGCTTGAGCTAATATTTTTCTTAACAATGTTTGTTTGACTGAATCACACAGGTGCACTATGTCACAAGTACTCAAGATGTTGAAAATAAATATTGTGCTTTATGATCATTGAGAATGATAATTTAAAGCAAAATTCATTGATCATAAAACGTTAATAACGTCATTAGAAATCATTGGAAGAGGCCATGACTAGATAGTTATAAACATGATGTGAAAATGTGAATCATTAGTACTAAAGATGTTGTAAATCAATGATATTGTTATTCAACTGTTAATGACCATGTTACATAACTTTGATGATTCATTCATAGGCATTGATGACGAAACTATAAAATGGTAACAATTGATCCAAAATTGTTAATAATGTAATTGTAAGAAATTGATAAGTATATTGAAGTCGTTAATAATGATGATGTATAATAATAACGATTCATTTCATAAATGCTGATAATGTCATTGCAAAATGTTAATACTGCATTGCAAGTTGCCACTAAGTGAGAGAGAGCATATATTTTTAATTTTCAATTTTCATTTTAAAGAATAAAAAATATTAAGTTCAAATTTATTAAATATTAAATAATAATATTTAATTAAATTGATTTCGAATTTCCTTTTAATTGTAGTGGAGAGAGAGGGTTATGGAGAAGATCAAGGGGGAGAGAGAAAGAGAATCATTAATGAGTAATACAAATTATATTTTCATAATATCTTATTTATTCCAACTAACTATTAACTACTAACCCCTCATTAACTACCTAATCTAGTATCAGCCAATAAAAATGGTTTAAGAACCTCCTTAAACAATGAGGCTTAAGGACCTGATCCAACCCGTCTACACAATAAATAAAAGCCAAATGAGAAAACTTGAGGTCCCATTTCAAATTCCTGCATCCTGAGTGAAAGTAGGAAGAACATTTTGGTCTTCACAATTACTTTTCTTTTATTCATTAAAAAGACACTTATTAGGATTTGAACCATGACCACTTTAGAGAAAAGCAAAGATCATAACCAATAACACTAAGTACATTTGTTGTATATTTTTAAATTAAAAACATATAATCGCAGAGAGGAAAAAACCGTTCCGCCATTTCAAATTCCCTGCTCCATGAGCGTTTGTAGGAAGGGTAGAATAGAGAGTGCCAAATTTTTCTTTTTTCTCTATGGAACGGGCCAACTTACCGTACACATGCGGATTTAAACGGGTCCAGGAGTGTAAATTTTTTTCCTTATGTCCTTTTATTTCTCCGTGGTGGTAAAATATATATGAAAAGGCAAAAACAATACTACTTTTTATTGCTAAAAAGAAAAAAAATTAACAATAAACTAATGCATGAATTCTAATGGGCTAACCGCTAATCATAAAATAAAAGAGGACCAACTTACCGTACACATGCGGTTTTAAACGGGTCCAGGAGTGTCAATATTTTTCTTTAAGTCCTTTTATTTCTCTGTGGTGGTAAAATATATATGAGAAAGGAAAAAACAATCCTCCTATTAATTGCAAAAAAGAAGAAAAAATAACAGTTAACTAATGCATGAATTCTAATGGACTAACCGCTAATCATAAAATAAAAGAGTTGAATGGGTCTGACCTACACGAAATTTGCCCATCAAGTAAAACAAATGAACATCATGGGTTTTCCATTCTAAAACAAGCTATTTTCTAGCATAATATATATTATGCTATTATTTTATATCTTAGTGGCTAAAATATAATGTATTTTAAAGTTATTCAATGGTTCAACCTCGACCAACCCAATTAGTCCAATTTTTATCATTAAAAATATATTGTGTAATTATTTAATATCATAATGATTAAATTATAGTGTATATTATAGGGAATCGTTTGGTATTTGTTAGTAAAAAACTAAACAGAAAGATCTATTTGGTTATTTTTAACGAGGAATTTTACAATGCTATATAGCATTGGTGCTATAGGTTTTTGCCTTTATGGTACAACTTGAAATTGTACCTTTAATGTTATGGTACAACTTCATATTGTTCCTATACTTTTTGTACAAATTCTTTTATGGTACAACTTAAACTTGTACCTTATGTGATGGAACAACTTCAAGTTGTAAAGTTGTACCATAACATAATGCTACAAATTCCTTTATGGTACAACCTAAACTTATACATTTAATGTTATGGTACAACTTTAAGTTGTACATTAAAGCACCAATGCTATATAGTATAGTAGAAGTGCTCATTTTTAACATTAAAACGATCCTAAACATTTTCAGTTTCCTTTCGAATTTCTATAGTTTTATTCCCGAATCAGTGATGTGCAAATGGCGAATTGCAGTCACCTTCTTTCTTTATTTTTTATTTTCAAATAGAAAGTTTAAAAGTAAATAATTAGAGTTGGCATGGGTCGGTCAAACAGGCCGAATTTCAAGTTTTCCCCGTTTTGATACAGCCTAATTTATAATCACATGGTTCCCTGATACACGATAAAAATCTTAATCCAAACCAGTTTGGAAGGTGAGTCCGTATGTACCACCATTTTCTAGGGATACAGGAACGGTGGTTCCTATCCCAAATCGTGTTGTTCATTCTTGATTTCTTTCGATTTTATCATGGCTTGGCAAAAAACCAGAAAGCACAATGATGACAAGATGAAATTTTTATAAAGCAAATTAATCGGCCAACGGGCTGAGTAAAAGCTAGCAAACGATTGTGAGATGCTCATTTTCGAAAACCGGCGGGATAGGCAATTTTTTATTCGATTTTCTGGAATTTGGTTTCTATAAAACTTACTCCACCTCATCATATTACCAGAAACAATATTGTTTCACAAGGTAACAGATACTTGATTTTGGTTCATAAGGCTGATTTTTGATTCGTTGCATCATTTATGTCTCTTTCCTACTAAAATTCACTATTTTTATCACGTGTTTCCCAAAAAAAAACTATACAACAATAAGCTATATACCCGTTACATTATCAAATTTCATACCTCACCTTCCTCCGGCCAAATGGCCGGGGCCACGCTAGTATTTCTATTATACAATCATATACTGCTTTTAAGATATAACCTCATATGAGTAAACCGCCCGATCAATCCGACTTGTAATTTAGTTTGATTAAAAGTCGACAATAGAATGACTCGCAACTCCATTGACTCCGCAACCTGATTGATTCATGATCCGACTAATTCAATTCGAACCCGCTTGCTTGACCCGAATATATAAATGGCACAC